GAAAGCACCCCTGGAGGTGGATGTCCTCGTATGGACGATTCCAAGGCCGTCCACCGCGCTGAAGCGAAATGCCGGGCAGCTCTCGAGAGGGGTGCCCGTAACGACTGGAGGCCGCACGTCGCAGAAGCGCACACGCAACAGGACACCCCGCTCCAGGCAAACAGTTCTAAGGAGGGTGCAGCTAGGAAACAGCAGCGCGAGACCCAACCCTCAAACAATGAAAGCTGTATGCCGTCAAGACCGGAAGCAAAGTGTCGATCCCAGTACGATGTTCAAGTGCCATTCGCGAGGGCGATGACAGACGTCACAGGCACGCCCCTCGATGAAGGAGGAAGGCAATACTCCTGTTGAGCCAGGATTATTTCCACCGGGAGACTTTGGGATTAGTGGCATTTTGGGTTCACCCGCCAGAGAGAAGGGATAGTGCAGTCGGTACAGCGAATGGCTATGGGCTGGAAGACGGACGGGTCATAATTCGAGTCCCGGTAGGAGCAAAATTATCTCTTCTCCATGTTGTCTAGACCGGTTCTGCGGCACACACAGCCCCCTTTTCAGTGGGCGACGGGTCTTTCTCCGGAGATAAAACAGCCGAAACGTGACACTGATCACTCAACTCCAACTAGTGCTGAGGCAGAGAAAACGTGGATCTGTACATCCGCTCCACCATTTGCCTTCATAGCGTGGTGTTTAATCAGTTAAGCACAGGGACAACTTGTTTTTTTTTTAATACTGGAATGGCATTTTCACTCACTTCAGTATTGATCAGGATATATTAAGAAATGTATATGTATCAGTCTCACCCATTCTATTTGAAAATTACATCTGGAGAACAAATTTTATTAGTGATTTTTAGCATTAAATTTCATCATAATCCTTAGGAATGTTACAAGCATACAGAAGGGCAGTACTACATGTTTGATTATGTTATGTTCAAATATATCTTAGTTACAATAAAAATTGTATATTGTATTCTGATATTGATGATCTGGTTCACTTCTTTGTTTTTTGTGTATTTAATGGCTTCATTACACCACTACAATTTCACTTAAAATTTGTGCTGCAGTGGAAAATGAATATTAACAGCCAGAAAGCTTTGAATGACACTATTCAACATTCCACATATGGAAGATACCGTATTTACACATGTATAGGCCGCAGCACAATTTTCAG